TGCAGGCTGAGGCTGAGGCAGGCTGAGGCTGAGGCCGAGGCTGAAGGCAGACTGAGGCTGAGGCTGAGGCAGGCTGAGGCTGAGGCTGAGGCTGAGGCTGAGGCTGAGGCTGAGGCAGGCTGATGCTGAGGAGGCTGAGGCTGAGGCTGAGGCTGAGGCTGATGCAGGCTGAGGCTGAGGCAGGCTGAGGCTGAGGCCGAGGCTGAAGGCAGACTGAGGCTGAGGCTGAAGCAGGCTGAGGCTGAGGCTGAGGCAGGCTGAGGCTGAGGCTGAGGCAGGCTGATGCTGAGGCAGGCTGAGGCTGAGGCTGAGGCTGATGCAGGCTGAGGCTGAGGCAGGCTGAGGCTGAGGCCGAGGCTGAAGGCAGACTGAGGCTGAGGCTGAAGCAGGCTGAGGCTGAGGCTGAGGCAGGCTGAGGCTGAGGCTGAGGCAGGCTGATGCTGAGGCAGGCTGAGGCTGAGGCTGAGGCTGATGCAGGCTGAGGCTGAGGCAGGCTGAGGCTGAGGCCGAGGCTGAAGGCAGACTGAGGCTGAGGCTGAAGCAGGCTGAGGCTGAGGCTGAGGCAGGCTGAGGCTGAGGCTGAGGCAGGCTGATGCTGAGGCAGGCTGAGGCTGAGGCTGAGGCTGATGCAGGCTGAGGCTGAGGCAGGCTGAGGCTGAGGCCGAGGCTGAAGGCAGACTGAGGCTGAGGCTGAAGCAGGCTGAGGCTGAGGCTGAGGCAGGCTGAGGCTGAGGCTGAGGCAGGCTGATGCTGAGGCAGGCTGAGGAGGCTGAGGCTGATGCAGGCTGAGGCTGAGGCAGGCTGAGGCTGAGGCCGAGGCTGAAGGCAGACTGAGGCTGAGGCTGCAGGCTGAGGCTGAGGCTGAGGCTGAGGCTGAGGCTGAGGCAGGCTGATGCTGAGGCAGGCTGAGGCTGAGGCTGAGGCTGCAGGCTGAGGCTGAGGCAGGCTGAGGCTGAGGCAGCTGAGGCTGAGGCTGAAGCAGGCTGAGGCTGAGGCTGAGGCAGGCTGAGGCTGAGGCCGAGGCTGAAGGCAGACTGATGCTGAGGCTGAAGGCTGAGGCTGAGGCTAAGGCAGGCTGAGGCTGAGGCAGGCTGAGGCTGAGGCTGAGGCAGGCTGAGGCTGAGGCTGTGACTGCGACTGCCGTTGCCACTGCGACTGTCATCGCGAATGCGACTACGACTGCGAGAACAGCAGAATTCTACAACTGGATTCTCATCTGAATCTTAAGGGGAGTGCTTCCAGATATGCTCCTACACATCGCTGTTAGGTTGCTTTGCCGGGATACTTTTCCCGCCCTGGGGCGTTAGGAACCCATGTTTTTTCACGCTTCTCCCCGGATGTCTAGCATGAGGGCTTTGGCAAGATGTCTTGAGCGAAACGTGTGTCCCCAGCACGTTCCGTAGCGCGTCCCCTTGGCAAGTCCCGCGGTGCGTCCCCATGGCACGTCCCCTGGCACGTCGGCTGGCGCGTCCCTTGGGACGCTCCGCGGCGCGTCCTCCTGGCATGTCCCCCATGTCAAAGCCCTGGTGCAGCTACTGTGTCGAGCTTAAGGTCCAGATCAGTTCGGTCAGGACTCGGACGCAAAGGAGGACTCGATCCACAACGCTATAGAGCACAATCGCGGCATAACACATCGCAGTTCAGCACGGCGCAGTACAGCACTGCTCCCGGCACGGTGCATCAAGATCGATTCACTCGGCAACACATAATTTGGCGCGTTTCCTGGCACGTTTCGTGGCACGTCCCGTGACGAGTCCCCCTGACACGTCGCGCGGTGCGTCCCCTGGCACGTCCCGTGGCACGTCCATTGACACGTTCCGTAGCGCGTCCCTTCGGCATGTCCCACGATGCGTCCCCATGGCACGTCCCTTGGCACGTCGCCTGGCGCGTCCCTTGGGACGTTCCGCGGCGCGTCCTCCTGGCATGTCCCGCTGTCAATTTGCTCTGGGGCAGCTACTATGTGCTCAGGCAGCTCGAGTTTAAGATCCAGATCAGTTCGGTCAGGACTCGGATGCAAAGGAAGACTCGATCCACAACGCTATAGAGCACAATCGCGGCATGGCACCTCGCACTTCATCACGGCGCTAGCAACACAGCACAGCTCTCGGCACGGTACACAAAGTTCAATGCATTCAGCATTGCAACCTGGCACGTTCCGTGGCGCGTCTCGTGGCGAGTCCCCCTGGCACGTCGCGCGGCGCGTCCCGTGGCACGTCCCGTGGCACGTCCATTGGCATGTTCCGTAGCGCGTCCCCTTGGCACGTCCCGCGGTGCGTCCCCATGGCACGTCCCCTGGCTCGTCCCCATGGCACGTCCCTTGGGACGTTCCGCGGCGCGTCCTCCTGGCATGTCCCCCTGTCATGTAGCTCTGGGGCAGCTACTATGTGTCCAGGCAGCTCGAGTTTAAGATCCATATGAGTGCGGTCAGGACTCGGATGCAAAGGGGGACTCGACCCACAACGCTATCGAGCACAATCGCCGCATGGCACATCGCACTTCAGAACGGTGCAGCACAGCACGATACTCTCAGCATTGCATTTGCCCGTCGCCCAATCAGATGTCTGTGAACGTGGCCATGCCTTACAATTCTATATTCCTTTCCAGTTTCGTGTGTCGATCATGCTTAAAGGGTTTACCGATGGCCGCCTCTGCTTAAAATGATGAAGTGCTGGCCCCACAAGGAGGGGGCTCCCACCTGAGACTTCCTCGCAATTCACTTATAGACGAGGCTCCCTTTCGAGACTTCCTCGGGATTCAGGTTCCCAGGTGTCATCAGGCCTCTGTTTTTCAGGGTTTGCCGATGGCCGTCTCGGATGAAAAACATGAAGTGCGGGCCCCAAAGGGAGGGGGGCACTCGCCTGAGAATTCCCTGCAGTTCACTCACACACGAAGCTCCCGCTCGAGATGTCCTCACGATGAACGTGTGATTGAGTGCGTGATTGTGTGAGTGTGTACGATTATGATGACGGTGATGGTGATGACGACGATGATGTTGTGAGGGTGAGCGTGAATGAATGTGTGAGTGTGAGTGTGTGTGGTGAGTGTGTGAGTGTGGCGGTGACGATGATGATGATGCAGATGATGCTGATGATGATGATGCTGATGCTGATGCTGATGAGGATGAGGATGAGGGTGATGGTGATGGTGATGATGATGCTGATGATGATGACGATGATCATGCTGCTGACGATGACGATGATGATGATGATGATGATGATGCTGATGCTGATGCTGATGCTGATGCTGATGCTGATGCTGATGATGACGTTGTTGATGATGATGATGATGATGCTGATGGTGATGGTGATGATGAGGAGGAGGAGGGTGAGGTTGAGAATGAGGATGAGGGTGAGGTTGGGGATGAGGATGATGTACTTGTTGATGATGATGATGATGCTGATGCAGATGGTGTTGCTGATGCTGATGCTGATGAGGATGAGGATGAGGATGATGGTGATGGTGATGATGATGCTGATGATGATGACGATGATCATGCTGCCGACGATGACGATGATGATGATGATGATGATGATGATGATGATGATGATGATGATGATGATGTCGATGCTGATGTCGATGCTGATGCTGATGATGATGTTGTTGATGATGATGATGCTGATGGTGATGGTGATGATGATGATGATGATGATGAGGAGGAGGAGGAGGAGGAGGAGGAGGGTGAGGTTGAGGATGAGGGTGAGGTTGAGGATGAGGATGATGTAGTTGTTGATGATTATGATGATGATGATGATGTTGATGGTGATGGTGATGGTGATGATGATGGTTATGAGGGTGATGATCATGGTAATGAGGATAATGACGGTGAAGATGATGATGGCTATGGTGAGGATGATGCGAGCCTGTGAGTAAGAGAGGAGGGTGGGTGAGGGGGTCCTTCCTGCGCGCGGTGTCCTGAGAAAACCCAAATCATTCCGGTGTGGGGAAACAGAGCAGCATATTTCTGATTCGCCTCGCTCCGGTCCCCAGCATCTTCACGGATCGACCCAGTTCGAAAAAAACACGCGTGATGGGCTTGTTTTCCACCACCACCACCATAAGTTGGAGGGGGGAAGGAGGAGGAGGACGAGGGGGAGGAGAAGGAGGAGGAGGACGAAGAGGAGGAGGAGGAGGAGGAGGAGGAGGAGGAGGAGGAGGAGAGGAAGAGGAGGAGGAGAGAAGGAGGAGGAGGAGGAGGAGGAGGAGGAGGAGGAGGTGGAGGAGGACCCCCTCCCCCTCCAACTTATGGTGGTGGGTGTGGAAAACAGGCCCATCAATGCGTTCGCGGCACGCTCCAGTGCGGGCCTCGCCTTTGGCGCGTCTCGCCGTCGGCGGACGGCGGGCGGAGGCGCGCGGAAGTAGAACTCCCGTGGGTCCACTGGCGGAAGCTGGCGGAAGGCCGGCGGCATGCGGGAGAAACGAGTGGCAAGCGTGCCATGGCTCTTGCACATGAAGGAGGGGGGGAGGAGGAGGAGGAGGAGGAGGAGGAGGAGGAGGAGGAGGAGGAGGAGGAGGAGGAGGAGGAAGGAGGAGGAGGAGGAGGAGGAGGAGGAGGATGAGGAGGAGGAGGAGGAGGATGGTGGTGGGTGTGGAAAACAGGAGCGGGCTCCAGTGCGGGGCCTTGGCGCGTCTCGCCTCGGCGGAGGAGGCGCGCGGAAGTAGGACTCCCGTGGGCACTGGCGGAAGGAAGGAGGAGAAACGAGTGGCAAGGATGGCTCTTGGAGGAGGAGGAGGGAGGAGGAGGAGGAGGAGGAGGAGGGAGGAGGAGGAGGAGGAGGAGGCGGAGGCGGAGGCGGAGGCGGAGGCGGAGGAGAGGAGGAGGGGCGGAGGAGGAGGAGGGGAGGAGGTGGAAAAGGAGGAGGCGGAGGAGGAGGAGGGGGAGTGGAGAGGGAGGACGAGAAATAGGAGAGGGAGGATGACGAGGGGGAGGATATCCAGGGAGCCCCGCACTGGGGCACAGCCCGCTCCGCAGAGGAGGGCGAGGAGCGGGGCACCCGGCCGAGGCACCTTGGCCTCGCTCTTGCACCAGCAGGGGCACGACCAGGACGCGGAGCCACTGCACCGCCAGGCTCGGGTGCCTTCCTCCGCCTCCTCCTCCTCCTCCTCCTCCTCCTCCGCCTCCTCCGCCTCCTCTCCTCGTCCTCCGTCCTCCGTCCTCCGTCCTCCGTCGTCCGTCCTTTTCCTCCTCCTCCTCCTCCCCTCCTCCTCCTCTCCTCCTCCTCCTCCTCCTCCTCCTTCCTCCTCCTCCTCCCTCCTCCTCCGTCCCTCCGTCCTCCTCCGTCCTTCGTCCTCCCGTCTTTCCGTCTCCTTCCTCCTCCGTCCGTCCGTCCCGTCCGTCCATCCGTCCCGTCCGTCCGTCCGTCCGTCAGTCCGTCCGTCCCTCCTCCTCCTCCTCCTCCTCCTCCTCCTCCTCCTCCTCCTCCCTCCTCCTTCCTCCTCCTCCTCCTCCTTCTCCGCCTCCTCCTCTTCCTCCTCCTCCTCCTCCTCCTCCTCCTCCTCCTCCTCCTCCTTTCGCGGACGGTTTTCGGAAGTTTTCGTTGTCTCTCGGCGGGTTTCAAGCCTCGGGATGCCTTCCAGCAGCTGTGCCTCGCCGAGGGCGTTCAGGGGGTGCCCGGATGGTGCCGAACGGCCGCCGGAGAGCCGAGTTATGAACCGAAAACCAAGGGGTAACAGGGAGGGATGCGTCGATCCCCCAATTGGGGGTGACTGCGGCCCCTCAGGTCCGGGAGCTAACTTTACTAAAGTCTGCACTGAGCACTGAATGGATCCCCCCACCCTCCTCAAAACTCCCCACCCCCGTCCGATCAAAAAGTTGGTATAGTTATGTGAAAAATAATGAAGTGGCATTCGGCCCCTCCTGCCACGGTGCCTGGATCGTGTGTCAGAGTCCTCATGGATGCTTCTCGGGTCTCTTCGGAGGGCTCCCCGTGGCCTCTTGGGGGCCTCGTGGGGGCCTCCTGGGGGCCCCTTGGGGGCCTCTTGGGGGCCTCTTGGGGGCCTCCTAGCGAAATGTCAGATCGTACTTCCCCTCTGGGATCCCTCTTGGGGAGTTCTTGGGGCCATCTTGAGCCATCTTGGAGGCCTCTTGCGCCATTTTGGGGGCCTTTGGGGCCGTCTCGGCACTCTTGGGGGCTGTCTTGGGACGATCTTTGGGGCCTTTTGGGCCGTCCTGGAGCGTCGGGAGCCCGAAAAGGCGGAACCGCCCAAATCCCATAAAGCATATGATCGACCCACGAACCTGGAAAGGAATATAGAAATGTAAGGCATGACACCTCATTGGGCGACGGGCACATGCAATGCTGAATCTATCGATCTTGATGTACCGTGCCGAGGGCTGTGCTGTGCTGCGCCGTGCTGAATTGCGAGGTGCCATGCCGCGATTGTGCTCTATAGCGTTGTGGATCGAGTCCCCCTTTGCATCCGAGTCCTGACCGCACTGATCTGGATCTTGAGCTCGAGCTGCCTGGGCACATAGTAGCTGCCCCAGGGCTAATAGCTAACTGACAGGGGGACATGCCAGGAGGATGCGCCGCGGAACGTCCCAAGGGACGCGCCAGGCGACGAGCCAGGGGACGTGCCACGGGGACGCATCGCGGGACGTGCCAAGGGGACGCGCTACGGAATGTGCCAATGGACGTGCCGCGGGACGTGCCAGGGGACTCGCCGCGCGACCTGTCAGGGGGACTCGCAACGGGACGTGCCACAGAACGCGCCGGGGAACGTGCCAGTTTGCAATGCTGAGTGTATCGATATTGATGTACCGTTCCGAGGGCTGTGCTGTGCTGCGCCGTGCTGAATTGCGATGTGCCATGCCGCGATTGTGCTCTATAGCCTTGTGGATCGAGTCCTCCTTTGCATCCGAGTCCTGACCGCACTGATATGGATCTTAAGCTCGAGCTGCCTGGGCACATAGTAGCTGCCCCAGAGCGAACTGACAGGGGGACATGCCAGGAGGACGCGCCGCGGAACGTCCCAAGGGACGCGCCAGGCGACGTGCCAGGGGACGTGCCATGGGGACGCACCGCGGGACGTGCCAAGTGGACACGCCACGGAACGTGCCAATGGACGTGCCACGGGACGTGCCAGGGGACGCGCCGCGCAACGTGCCAGGGGGACTCGCCACAGGACGCACCACGGAACGTGCCAGGGAACGTGCCAGGTTGCAATGCTGAGTGTATCGATTTCGATGTACCGTGCCGAGGGCTGTGCTGTGTCTGGGCGACCTGGACACGTGAAAACCAGCGTTTCGCTCAAGACATTCTCGACACATCCTCATGCCAGACATCCGCCTGGGCAACCTGGACACGCGCAAACAATCGTCTCGCTCGAGACATCCTCAACACATCTTCATGCCAGACATCTGCCTGGGCAACCTGGACGCGTGAAACCAAGCGTCTCGCCCGAGACATCCTCAAGACCTGGGCACGTGAAAACAAGCACTTCACTTGAGAGATCCTCTGAATTCTGGTCCCCAGGAGAGGACAATCTATATCACAACAAGCGTTTCGCTCGAGACATCCTCAACAAGTTCTGCAAAACAAGCGTTTCGCTCGGGACATCCTCAATCTTTAATTCACCTAATTCGCCGGCCCTCTGCGACCTCCTCATTTATCGCAAAAGAGATTCGCCGGCCCTCTTCGAACTTGGCACCCGGGACAGGTTTATTTACTGAAAGAAAGCTCTGGGCCTAAGCCCTTTCCGGGAATTTCGCTGCCGTCGCCCTCCCAGGGCCACGTTGCCCAGTAAATTACACTGTGTCCGCCCCTCCAGGGCCACGATCCCTCGTAAATTAAGCTGCGTCCGCGCTCCCAGGGCCAGGATCCCTCGTAAACTACGCTGCGCCTGCTCTCCAAGGGCCACGATCCATTATAAATTACGCTGCGTCCGCTATCCCTGGGACACGATCCCTTGTAAAGTACGCTGCGTCCGCCCTCCCTGGGCCACGATCCCTCGTAAACTACGCTGCGTCCGCGCTCCCAGGGCCGCGCCCCATGGTGAATTACGCTGTGTCCGCGCTCCCAGGACCACGTTCCCCAGTAAATTACACTGTGTTCGCCCCCCCAGGGCCACGATCCCTTGTAATTTACGCTGCGTCCGCGCTCCCAGGGCCACGATCCGTTGTAAGCTGCGCCCGCGCTCCCAGGGCCAGGATCCCTCTTAAATTACGCTGCGTTCGCTCCCCACGCGGCTCGTAAACTATGCTGGGTCCGCGATCCCAGGGTCAAGATCCCTCGTAAAGTGCGCTGCGTCCGCTCTCCACGGGCCGCGATCCCTCGTAAACTACCCTGCGTCCGCGCGCCCAGGGGCCACGATCCCTCGCAAAGTACGCTGCGTCCGCGCTTCCAAGGCCGCGCTCCATGGCAAACTGCGCGGCGTCCGCACTCCGAGGGGCACGCTCTCCAGCGAACGGCGCCCGCGCTCCCGGGGCCACGACCCCGCGTAAATGACGCGGCGCCCGCGGTCCAAAGGCCGCGATCCCTTGCAAATTACACGCCGCCCGCACTCCCAGTGGCACGATCCCTTGTAGATTATATTGCGTCCGCACTCGGAGGGCCAGGATCCCATGCAAATTAGGCTGGACTTGCGCTTCCAAGGCCGCGACCCTTTGTAAACTACATTGGATGTGCGCTCCCAGGGCCACGATCCCTTGTAAAGTACGCGGCATCCGCGCTCCCAGGGCCAGGATCCCGTGTAAAAATAGGCCTCACAAACTCATATCTAACTAAACAGACCTAACTTGCACAGGTCTAACCCAAATAGGTCTAACCAAAATAGGCCTAATTAGCATACGTCTAACTAAACTAGGTCGAACTAAATCATGCCTAATTGAAATAGGCCCAACTAAATGCTCGCAGCTGGAATCAGGCCAGGTCCAGCTACAACCAGGCTTATTTTACATAGGTGCAATTAAGATAGGCTTAACTAAGATAGGCCAAACTACAGTATGTCTCACTAAAAGAGGCTCAGCTAACATAGGTCAAACTAAATGCTCACGCAGCTGGAATCAGGCCAGGCCCAGCTACAACCAGGCATATTTTAATTAGTTTAAATTGAAGTAGGTCTAACTCAGATCGGCCAAACTAAAATAGGTCAAACTAAAATAGGGCCAGCAGTGCCGATTGTCTGTGGCGCCGCAGGCGCCAGTTTTTTGTGTGCGGAGGCGGGATGTCGATTGGTTTTGCGTTTCCGTCGGTTTGGATTTTCCGTCGGTTAATGTGGGGAGGTCTGCCTGAACTCGCCCAGTGCCACTGAACTAATAGAGCCGCCCCAGGAGAGACAAAAATCGATCCAGGATGGGCCCCAGGACGATTTTGAACGGGTTTCGACCGACGACGTCCTCTTACTCCCTCTCCTCCTCCGTTTCTTCTTCTTCGTCTTCTTATTGTGTTTCTTCTTATGTTTATGATTATTCTTCTTCTTGTTATTAGCACTATAATGTTTATTATTATTCTTCCTCCTCCCCCTCCTCATTCTCATCATCCGCCCCGCTGCAGTGGGCCATCCGCCGCACAATGTTTTGCATAGTTTAACATATCGTCGTCAGAACGGAAGCGGAAGTCCCACACAAGCCCCCAACACATAGTCTTTCCAGATATCTAAACACAGTCATTCGAAATTCAATGTCATACGGTTCGGAGCCGCTTCCTTGCGAACTTTCGTGCGATGCGGCAGTTATGAAGCGCTCTGCACGGGTCGCCCATGCACCTGTGGTCTCTTGGATCAGCACAAACCTAGCGAGAAGCTCCGAACGACCCCACACCACCCCCCCACCAACACCAGCCAGAGGCTCGTCAGCTTGGGATTCCTGGGAGACGAGACTCGGAGGCGTCTGGGCCACCAAACATGCTAAATCGCGTCCAGTGGCCTTCGTCAAAGGCCCGGTTCTCCCGCCAGCAAGTTGCGGTGCCCAACCAGGAAAATGACCCTCAGGTCGGTTTCCTGGTTGAGTTGCTGAGCAGCCTGATTCGGCCCCCAGACATCAATCGGGGGCTACGTGGGGTTC